AGGGGTAATTAAAATACAAATACAAAACAAGCTACAAAGAAGGCACAGTCTTTAAAGAGAAAGCAGTAAATAGAAAACTGCTTTTTTGTGACAATAGAATGGTTTCAAACAACACATACATGAGCTACAATGGCCTGTAGTCAAACCTTATGCAACAATGAATTGGCAGAAAATAGACATAATAATCAGTTTCTAGGTAAAGCCTATTAGCTATACTATAATAGGGATGCATCGGTATCTGCTGATGTCTGCACAGTTTACAATTCGCTTTTGCTAAACATTTTACATGCACTTGTAATAATTTACTTTTGAACAAAAACCTCAGGAGGTCCATTTCCAGTGAAGAAAAAGTCTGTATTCCACCAACAGACAAAAAAAATTCTCATCTCTGAAAATATAAATAACAAAAAGATGAAACATCAGCCCTCCATCCATCCATCCATTTTCTACCCTTTAATCCATTTCTGGGTCAGGGGGGTGGCAATCAGAGATGCCACCCAAGTCTCATAGCACCAGCCCCTCACTGACCCTCTGCAGGTGGTGAGTCCACAGGAGGACGGCTGCTCTCTGAGTGTGAGCATAGCCTTGATCTTTCAGTGGGGGCTTTGGGCAACGTGGGGCTAAGTGTCTTGCCCAAGGACACAACGACAGCAGTCATCAGTGGGAGTCGGTGGAGAAGGTGTAGAGGCGGGAATTGAACCCACGACCTTCAGGCCTGAAGGCCAATGCTCTATCAACTGAGCTACTGTCGCCCCTAACATCAGCCAATGTTATGTTAAACATTTCACAATCGGTGCATCCCTACTATAAACGCAACAAGCAATTAATAGCAAATTCAAAATGCCTATAAAATAAACAAGATTGGTGTATCAACGCCTACTGGTTTGTCAGGAGGGTCTCAGAAGGTAGAAATCTCATTGATGAGACACACAATTGTTTGGGTTTGTACAGATAACAATACTTGATGCTTCAATAGAGTTGTTTAGTTTTATTCTCTTGGAACAGTCGGTGGACTGAGTGGCAGCTCCACTCCGTGTGAACTCCACAAAGCCTCATACTCTGCAGAACTAGAAGGGGATGAGTCTAGACTTTTTGATGCCAGAATCTGCCCTCTCTGAAGCTCAAAGACATTTATGACATTCTTAATCTTTTATACCTGCCTGGTCAGATTCTATACACTTGTAAATTGCAGCACACTCTCAGGACAGGAACATCTCCTTTCTGTGCTTTTGTAGATGATGTTCAAGAGTTTCAAGTCCAAAGTCAGACAAAACAAGAACAAGGAAAAATCTGAAGGTCACTATAAAAACTTGTTACTATAAAATATACAATTTAAATAAGCAGGTCTGATTTTGCACTGTGTACTGGGTGGCATCTCTGCCCCCCCCCCAACCCAGAAATGGATTAAGGGGTAGAAAATGGATGGATGGATGGGTCAGATTTTGTAGAAATTACTATTTCTTTTTTTGAGACGTTGCTAATGTCCAAAGTTCTAAATAGACACATTCCTGTTGCCTATGGTTACCTGTGACTCAAGTAATCTACAGAACTGATGGTAACGACTAAATTCTTTGGGGTGTGTATCTTCTCATTCTTTATCTGTCCATCTTCTCCACTGCTCTAAGAGCCACTGACATTGATACGAATCGCAGACAGGCTCCGGGAGATTGGCGCTAAATCACTTGCGAATCCCCCGCGGGCTCACACCGCTCATGTGTGTGTACTACGGACAGCTAAATGACTAAAGATCCCAGGAGTCGGACAGCGGTCAAGCTAACGTGTCCACAAAATAATGACGGGACACTGTCGGGAGCTTCCTCATTTGCTGTCAAAGATACGGCGACATGTAAAGAACCGTGGTGGTGGTGATATGGGGGTTTGTTCAGTGGCCTGCTGAGTTACTGATCAAAAACGCTTTCACACTGGCTTGTGTCTTGGACGAGACAAAATGTGCAGCCCAATTCTCTTCCAATTAACTTGTCTTTCACTCATTCAAAAGGATCAGACAAAAACACTAGTCGCTTTATGTCCTCAGAGGCCTTCCCTGATCCGCTGTATTCTCGGCTTTGATTAACTTTAACACAAAATGCACCTCCGCCCAAGGGCGTAGGTTTGCGTGGGGACCATGGGGACATGTCCCCACCAATATTTGGTGAGGACTAAAAAGTCCCCACCAAAATGACATGATGTCCCGTGACCCGGACGGTCCGGGACACATGTCTTCCGTTTGTGCACAAGTCGCGCCTCCTCCTCGCCTCCAGAGCAACAGCAGCAGCAGCAGCACGTGACCCGTTCCGTTCTCTGCAGTGATTGGCTGTCTTCTTCAGCGCCAAACTGAAGCACTGAGCAACTGTTTAATTTTTAAAAGTTAGCCAGCGTGAAGCAAGTGTTTTTTTTTATTCTCTGAGCGTTGTAGCACGTGAGTAATCAGAGGAAAGTACTGTAGATCTATTACCATTCAAAGTACTTACGTTATTTCTAATCTGTCAGCGCACTGTTTAATGTTCCGAGGAGCTCACACGGCATACAGAGACAGAACAGAACTGGCTCCAATAAAGAAACAGGTTGGTTGAAAGGCTGAAAAAATACTTATTGTGCTCTTACTATCCAAAATGTATGAGTGGGTGTGTTGTGTGAATCAGGATAAACTAGGGATAAAAATATTCCACGGATCCACGATTTACAACCTTTATCTGCTGATAATGTAATTTCTGTGAAATGTGTGACAGCGGGCACTTGCTGTTATTTGCTCTAAGCACATTCAAGCGATGCACTCGAATGTGCACGTCCTGGTGCAGCTGCTGCCGCTTTTGTAATGACAGCCGCGGCGCTCAGTGAAAGCACAGCTCTAACATGGTACCGAGCTCGGACCATATGCAGACAGAACCATGTTGCAAGTGCGGGTCTCCCTCGTATCTCCCCCGTTTCTCCCCTGTGTCTCTGACATGTCTCTCCCCTGACTCTTCCCAAAGCGCAACCAGCGCCCCCGAAATTAAAGCTCGGATACCTAAATTTTCCATTGCGTTAACGATGCATGCTGGTTGTGTGCAAAACACACCACAACAGGTCATTTAAGTTTTTATTTTGCATACTTGAGAGCCCTGTGAGTCATTACTTGCCTTTTTGGGTTGAGAGTGGAATAAAAAAAAGAAAATATAGAAAAATCCACACTGTTACTTATTGCCAAACTCTTGTTAACTCATTGTATTGAGAAATACTATGTAACTTTTGACATTGGCCAACATATAAAAATGATTCTGCAGTTCATGTATATGAATGTCTGTTTTTGATTTTCTATACCTTCTTACATAATTTAGAAAAAATGCCACCTCCACAAAAAAAGATAAAAGATATCAGGAGCTTTTTTAACATTTGGAAAGTAAGTAAGAGAAAGCACAAGTAATAGCAAATTATGAATTGTGATGATTAATCTTCTGTTAACATACATAGGAAACTCAACCAACAAGAGAGAACAATATAGGGAATGTTGAGGTAGAAGCAACAGGCCCTTCAGTGCATCAGGTGAGGTTGGAATTTTGTAGGTATGCATGGGACTATGAATTGTTTTTAGAGATTGATCGTATATGTCAAACAATGTAGTGAGATACTCACTGTAGATTCTAATTCAATATTTTCTCCTCTGTTTTTATTTATTATAGGAAATTGAAAGATCAGAGCATGATTTATTTCAAGTATCGAGAGCAGTTCCTGAACTGTTAGAGCCTCAGGTGAGGGCTATTATGTAGATTTGGATTAGGTTTAAGTCAGTATAGAATGAACGCAACACAAAACTCAGAAGCTCTGATCCAATTGATTTTGTTTTAACTATTAGAAAAAATCCTTAACTGCTTCTCATTCAGTCTACAGCTGAGTTTAGTATAGAAGGCAACACACTATTGCAAATATAGTGTGTGATTACACAACAAATTCTGGGGGAGAAACTCTGGACCCCGTGTCAATGGGTGTAGACTCAGGTCGTAGTGAATGTCCCCACCAAGATTGGAACCAAACCTACACCATTGCCTCCGCCTGCTGTGGTTGGATAACATTTACACAAGGTAAAGAAGAAAAAGAAAGAAGAGAGAGTTTGTCTGGTTGTTGCAGGGATAAAAAGAAAAAAAGTTTGTTTATGAGCTGAAGTTTATTCTGCCAAGACAACCACGCAGAAAGAAACAAAAAACTAAAACCAGCTCTAAAACTTGAATTAGGATGTATAAGAATGTTTATTACTGTATATACATTCAGTAAACATTGCACAACAGCACTTATGTGTTTTGCTTTCTCCCTAATTCATCACTAATGAAATGATAGAGAACAAAATACACAACATTATCTTTGGTCATACTCTAAAACTATCTAACTTGAATGAATAATACTATGATGTGTTCATGAACTCTAAATAATAAGAGAAATCTGAGCATCTTGGCATTATTTTAACTGTGGACGATAAATAGACACGCATGAAAATGGATATTGTACCTCTTAAACAGGATATAAAACAGTATGTTCTTCAGATCTAGTCCGCTGGCTCATAAAAGAGGCTCCAGAGGGAAGAGAAAAAACAAGTTGTCAGCAATAACCAAACTAATCCTGACAGCTTTTAAAGACACAAAACGGGGGCCAAAACATTATAAACTTTCAAATTGATAGGGGTGAAAGTCAGAGAGCTGCCTGAGGGCTAATCAGGAGCAGAGGACCTTGATGTGGAGGTTACGGCGAACTACGAATGCACCGCCGCGGCCTAACACAAATTGTGTGTGATGTGACTGGCTGTTTTAAAAGGCAGGGTTCAAAGAGTCTTGCTTTCACTGCTCGTTATCTCACACCAGCTAATGCTAGGAAAGGGCTCCACGCACACACATGGGGCATCCAACGCTTATAGGAAACAAAATACACAGCGTTACAAAGTTGCCTATGTTGTTAAGAATACACACACGTAGTATCAGCCACATTAGAGGGAAGGAATCAAGTCGCCGTGAGCTGATTATCACATGGCTGCATTACTGTATGCCGTGGGATACCGCAGTGCCCTGAGCAACGCAGAGATGTGAGTAGAATGTTATGAGCATTAAAAAAACGCAGGAAAAGTACCTTTGCTGTACTCGCCTTCTATACACAGCCGCAGAATACACTCTTTCTGAAAATGACAGTATTTTTAATCTTCCTCGATACATACTGTACTCTGAGAACTTTTAAATAATGCAGTGGAGAAGAGTTTGAAAGGAAAGGTTAAACTTTACAGTATAAATTGCAATGGACATAGTTGAAATGTGCCTGCTGCACAATCTAAGCTCCATCTTTTCCAATGTTCTAACGCTTTATCCGCTGCCAGTTTATAGAGCAGACTTACCAGGCACATTTCAACCAGCTCATCCGGGGGAATTCCCGTGCCAACTGAGAGACATAGTAACTCAAGGGTTACGAGGGTTCTTCTCTGTGCGAAACATTCCAGAAACTCTCTTGGGAGGCATTCAGCGGGCATCAGAAAGGTGCCCAGGAGGCGTAAGAAATAGATGCTCCAGCTACCCCAGCTGGCTCTTCTCGTTGTGGAGGCTCTACCCTGAGCTCCTTGTCCTTTTGTGACCTGGCTCCACATCTTATCTGTGCCAAAATCTGAGTGTAGTTTGCATGTTCTCTCTGTGTCTGCGTAGGTCTCCTCTGGGTGCTCCGGTTTCGCCTACCACTAAGAATATGTACAATAGGTCTGAATGTAAATGAGAGAGTGAATGGATGGTGTTGATTGGGGGCTGATGGTCCAGTGTGTTCGGCGACTCTCATCACCGTGTGTGGAATGATTGGAGCAATATCTGAACTCTGAACATTGTAAAGCGCTTTGGGTGACCTTGGTCTGTAAAATGTGCTATATAAATAAACATTACTTACTACTCACTAATCACAATCTAAACATGTGACCCATGAGTATACCCCCTCATAAACAGCGTTTCTTGTAGAAGCTGACAGCAGCGTGAGACATCCCCTAAAACACTCTGTTCTGCGGCGTACAGAGAAGGATGTTTCTGCAGTTTTTCAATCAGATGTAGAGCCACTGTCTTTGAGATAAAGTGAACAGTAGATACTCCAGTTAACAATAAACAAAAAAAAAATATTAATGTTTTTTGTTAAACTGTTAATAGTAAATACCAATGAAGCATATATTATATAAGAATCAACTTACCTTCATTAAGCCCAGTCATTTGTAGGACGTTTATATTCTTTTAAGTATTCGTAGCTTAAGAGTTTATAAAAGCAGTAAACTACATACTTCAGATCGAAGTCAGACTGTAACGCGTCCTAGTGTAGAATAAATTATTCATCAGCTATTTCCCATAACAACTTGCTACTTTTAAACAAATTTAGCTTGTGAACTCTGCAGCCTCAAGATGACAAGCAGATACCAGATGTGACAGGCATTCTACAGCTCCATGCGAATATAAAAGTGTCATTTCCACTGGTGTAGCAAAACAAGCCTGCATATGTCTTGGAGAGAGAAGTCAGATTTCAGACTTTTACATCAGACTCTGAAAATTACTTCTAATGACATGATGTTTTTTTTAAGTAAAACTTAAAGTGACAGCGCTCCGAACCCTATCAATCTGATTTGTGGCTTTGTTCGTAACTCCCTGAGAACAATTCTGACAGCATGAAGGGGAGGGGGAAAACATTTCTTTCTTTTACATCAGAAATGGAGCAGCGCTGGAAATAAAAACATCTATCTCTCTCGGCAGGAAACTTCAAACAGCAGCACTCTGACTGCATTGTTAGCCACAAACGTCCATAAATCATCGACTCTTTGAGCTTTCATATGACATTACTTCAGAATGTCACTCTTATAATTAAACATTCGCTGCAGTCTGACTTAAAAGCTCTTGAATAGAATTGAAACAACACAATCCCATTGTACAGCTGAATACATTTAGCAGTCTATAGATTGTACCTTTTTGGCAGCCTGGATACACTTCATGTAATCTTTGGCCAGGTCTGAGCACCGCAGCGTCTGCTCTCTGTTGTCTCGGTAGCAAGTGAAGATCTGCGCTTGAAGACCGGTACAGACGGGTTCTGTGTTGCGAGCCCTGAGGAGATAAAATACACATTAATAGATCTTAAATGTAACTTTTCAGAAGGGTTCCATCAACAAGCACAGCAGACTTGAATCATCCAAAGTGTAAATAAAGCATTATACGAGGGAGGGAGGCTTTTTAAAAATACATCATTTGGACAGATCTCACCATACGTTGACATTAGTGCAAGACGGAGCGCTACCGCCTTTATCCCCACCGCTGTCAGACTGTACAATAAGTCACTCTAAGTCACTTGCATTAGGACTGAAAAACCTGCACTATTGACACTGTTTCTTTGATTGCCACTTCTTATTGTACATAATATATCCTGCATTTAACATGTTTGCACATTTCTTTCTTTTGCACAATCTTGAGTGTTTCTATCCATGCCAGTGACATGTACATTTCTCCTCTGTGAGATAAATAAAGTCTATCTTATCTTATCTTATAATGAACTGTTATTTTATGAATGTGAATAAGATTAAATTGTCAATGATTTGTAAAAATGGGACACAGTAAAATAAAATATTGAAGAGCATGGTCTAATAATACTGATTTTAAAGTCTGCCTTCAAATACAAACGTAGAACATCACTAACAGAAAAATGTAGTGTCAGAGAGAGTAAAAAATGCCAGAATTCAATAGAAGCTGACGGACAATTGGTTAGCGGCCGAACATTGGGGATGAAGATCGTTGAATGTCTTCCCCACTCCGCACCTTCCTTTTCTCATAACGTCTATTACCATGATTATTACACACGCTAGACCTGTTCATACAGCGAAACTCTACACGGTTATTTTTGTGCCTTGCAAAACCTGCATATTTAAGATCTCCTCAGTGATGTTCTTTTTTCATTTCATTTTCATCCCTTTTATTTAACCATTTCTAGGTCAGGGGGGTGGCAATCAGAGCTGCCACCCAATTCACAGAGCACCAGTCCCTCACTGATCCTCCAGGGGGTGGGCCTACAGGAAGATGGCTGCTCCTTCATGACCATTATGTCCAAAGACCAGTGCTCTACCACCTAAGCCACTGTCGCCCCACTTCTATTTTAAAATAGATGTAAATGTAAATGTGCACTTTATTGTCCCTAGAGGGAAATTTGTCCTCTGCATTTGACCCATCCTAATGCCGCTAAGGCTTAAGTCAGGAGCAGTGGTTGCCGTAGTAACAGCGCCCGGGAACCCATCTCCGGATGTTGATGCTCGGCTTGGTCAGGACTACCGGAGTAGGAGGATTTTACCTAGTGAGCATATTTTTAGTGGTAGGGGAAACCGGAGCACCCGGAGGAAACCTACGCAGACACGGGGAGAACAAGCAAACTCTACTCAGAAAGGCCCTGTTCCGACCGGGATTCGATCACAGGACCTTCTTGCTGAGAGGCGAGAGTGCTATATACTCAGCCACCGTGCCGATATCTATTTCACAATATAAGTTGATCAGTGAAAAAACCATACCCAAAATTTGGGGTGTGCACACTTTTAAGCAAAATAACAAAACTTCCCCTCATGAAAATATGTAGGAATGTTTTAATATCAGAACGGGGTGTGGTTAACAAAAAAATAAACAAATAACGTTGATTAACTAGCTTATCAGGAATATGTGACAAAGCAAGCTATATGTTTTTACTAACACAATGATCAAAACATGTAATAAATTGGATAAAAACAAATTGCATCATACAATTGTTGGAGATTTTAAAGATAAGTGTGATCAGCCTTTTTATTGAGAATTGAAATGACTGTATTATGCGATCTGTTTGCTACAAAAGTAAACATCTTGCTCAGACTTCAATTAAAAACAACATTGGGAGATAATTGCGGTTCGTTAGGAGGCCTTGTAAGGAAACTGGATATAATTTTCATACCGAGATGACATCTTGAATGAAGCAGGTGGTGCAGCGCATGAATGAGGCTTGTTTAAGAGGTTGCCGTTAATTGCTGTGGCTCAGGCTGTAATACAAGCTCACAATTTGGACAACAAAAGCATCTTTCATACATCCATGGAACTCTTTGGATCCCTTTGAAATAAACGCTATGATTTTTTTTTTTTTTATCTAACCGCCCATGTAGTCAAACTGTTAGAAAAGTAATAATAGGCGTAAAATTATGTGAAAATTATTTGGTTTTTTCTCCTACTTAGAATATATATAGTAATACATATAATATGGAGAAATATATTGTAATGTAAGTAAATGGTCGGATTTATATCAATAAATTATTTTTTATTTATTTATAGAACCCTTTACAACACTTGAGGCGACAAAGTGCTTTACAATAAAATCACACAAAAATGCATACAAAAATGTAATAATAATTTAATAAAAATTAAAAAAATAAAAGTACCGTGCTAATGAGTGTTAAAAATGTTAAAAGCCCGTCCGAATAAATACGTTTTAAGCCTTGATTTAAAAAGTCAGAGAGCACTCTCATATCAGGGGGCAGCTTGTTCTTGAGTCTGGGTCCAGGACTGAGAAGGACCGGTCACCCCAGTGTTTAGACCTAGTCCTTGGTACTTCCAGGAGGAGTTGAGTCGATGACCTCAAAGATCTGCCAGAGTCACGAACAGACAAAAGTTCGGACAAGTGCGGAGGGGCGAGACCATTCAGGACTTAAAAAAAAAAAGACTCACATTTTAAAATAAACTCAAAACAAAATTGGAAGCCAAAGTAATGAGAAAAGGACTGGGGTGGTGTGTTGACGTCGGTGTGGTTGTTAAAAAAGCAGCTGCAGCATTTTGCACAAACTGAAGACGATTAAAAAGACTGGGGAACTCCAAGATAAAGGACATTACAGTAATCAATTCTTAAACTGATAAAAGCCTGGATTGTTTTTTCCAAGTCTAAGAAGTTTAAAATAGGCTTTACTTAGTTAAAATACGTAGCTGATAAAAAACTTGACATAATAAAACCAAGGTGTCTGACCTTATATTCTCTACCTTTCAAGCACTTTAGATCAATAAATCTGTCATCCAATCACACACACCAGTGTAGGTAGACACAGGGGGCAAGGAGGGTCAAGTGTTTGGCCCAAGGACACAACAGCAGCATTCACAAATGAGAGCTGCATTCAATCTATGAAGAGTGATAAAAACCTATACTTTACCGATGTGCAAAAAGTAAAGTAAAAGAAGTAAAATTGTATAAATACATGTTCATATGAATATATCAGTAAGATTGAGTACGGAGAGGGCTGTGCCAAAGAACGAGGACGACTTGTTCTTTCCCTTAAACCTAAACAAACCATGTGAGACAAATGATTGAGCCAGGGACACGCAGCATGTGCCTTCATCCACCCTTCACAATGTTCGGCTAAAATAATCATAAACAATTTGCCCTCTGTGCAAGTACATATTGAATTTCCTTTTATTCATTTTTTATATACATTTTAAAACAAACCTGCAGCTGCGTAAACATGTTTTTTGAAGTGCATACCCTGCTTCTCATACTTCAGAATAGATTGTTACAGTAGCAGACGTCAGACAGCATTATGTTCTGTACCGTGCAAAACAAATATAGAGAATACAGAGACAATCTGTTTTTTAACTAAAGACAAATGAGTCAAGACAAAGATGAAAAAGCAATTAACTATACGCCCACTACAACCTGTTTAACAACCCACACGGAATGGAACGCTTGATCGCAATTAACGGTAAATGCCTTTTAATTGAGTGGGTGTGCTCATGATCAGGCCAGAAGTGTGTTCTGTGAGGGTGGCTTGATTTTAGACTAAAGCAGACCTCTAATTGGTTGTGTGATTGTTAACTATGACAGGTCGGGAGCCACTATTGTGATAGATGCTGATTGACAGAGGCGGAGGTGCACCCACGCATGTAAGAGATCCTGACAACACGCACATGTAACTCAAAGTAAGTTTGAATGACTGTATTTCAAACTTTCATCAGTACGAACAAAGAATGTGAAGCAATATATGTTCGCTTTAATATGTGTACATGTTCACAAATATGTATATTCCTAAGTACTTCTATCCAGATTATTCTATTCTCACAAATATCCTCATTATTTTTATTTTTAGATTGTTACTTTGACGTTATTTTTTTTTAAATTTTTTATTGTGAACTACTATGCAAGCTACAGTGACAACGCAATTTCCCTTGTGGATCAATTAAGTCTGTCTAAGTCCAAGTCTAAGTATAAGGCCAAGAACACATTTAAGACCAAGAAGAGCAAGGGATTTCAGGAATCTTTTTTTTTTTTTCAAGAACTAATGTATATGTGCCCCTCATTCTATCTTACCCACTATGTCGTTCTTTCAGCCCCTCTCCAAGGCTCATCAGTATAGGTTAAGGGTAAATGTCTATTAACGGGTAAATTGAGGGCTTTGTCTTCACCACAACAGTCTGATACAGCTACAGTGCCATCATCTGTCAAGCTCACCGTACACACTTCCCTCCCACGAGAACATTTCTCAATCTCTGAGTTTGTGCAGCCTTGAATGTTTCACAGGTTTTGAGGGTGTGGACAGCAACAGTAGTGGGATAGACTAGAGCCCTGCACGGGCCTATTATCTGGGCCCGAGCCCGGCCCTGGCCCGAGGGGGTGGCGCCCCAGCCCGGCCCGGCCCGATATGGTTTCTCAATTTTCAGGCCCAAAACCCGCATCAAGCCCGCCTTTTTTTTTTTTTTGTAACCTCCCATAACAATGTTTTAGCGTAGTATATAGTGCCGCGCACTGATATGAACGCAGACTTAGCTAGAGGGCGGAGTTATACATGGTAGTGATGTGTTGCAATGAGTTCTGTGTGTGCGGAGTGGTGCAGAGTGAACATCTGTATGATACACAGCTGTATGATGCCCAGATGCTGCAACACACCTGTAAGTAACGCTATGTGCCGTCAATGACAACACTACACAGAACAAGAAACACTACAGCGTGATAGAACGCTATATTCAGTGGGTGCGTTCGTAAATGTATTCTGCCGCTCTGAAAATGAAGAGCCCGAGCCCGGCCCGTGTCCGAGGTCATTATGCGGTCATCGGCCCGAAGCCCGGCC